TAAAAAAAAAAAAAACGGGGAAAAAAAAAAAAAAAAAAAGCAAAAGCCCCGGGCTGAAAGGCCCTGGGAAGGCCTGAGTGACAGGGGGGCCGGGGGAGGGCAGGGGAAGGACTATGTGTATCCAAGCAGCAGAGACTGCAGCCTGACGTGTGGTTTTAATGACCAACACGCAGGTCAAAAGCATTTTGCACAGTGTTTGTTTTCCTGTCTTGCACTTACAAATAAGGTCTATGGGAGTAGCATGGAAAACGTTTGCTGTTTTTTCCTTCTTTTTTTTTTTTTTCCTCTTTTTTTTTTTTTTTCTCTGCTTTTGTTTAAAATTTGATCGCCTTAACTACTGTAAACATAGCCTATTTTTGTGCTTAAGATACTGAATGGAAAACTCCATTGTGTATTGCTGGACTGTTTTGGAAATATTTGGTCAAATGTGTGTTAATTTGGCTGTAATGGCATTTAAAACAAAAAAAAAAAGCTGTGAAAATGGCCTTGGAGCGTTATCTTTAGTTACTTGAATAGTTTCTAGGTTTTAAAACTACATTCTTTTCTTAAGTTAGAGAAGACAATCAGTGTCTGAGGAAAATGGACTTTCTCTTGGATTTTTTTGTGGTCCTCGTGAGTGATTGCTTTTTTCCTTTCCTTAGTTTCACATTCTTCTTTTGTTCTAAAACTTAGACTGACATCTAGCTTTGACAATCATAGTATGTTTTATTTTCCTGAGGGGGGAATAACTTATAATGCTGTTTAGTTTTGTACTATTGGTGTGTTGGTGAATTTTTAAACTGTGTGCTAACTGCAATAAATTATATGAACTGAGAAATCAATTCCCTTGTCTTTTTTCCCTCTTTTAAATTATAGTTACGGAGTATTTTTTATAATGTGTAACTTTATTACTTTTGTACAGACTTCTATTGCTAACTGTGTATGGAATATGTTTTCAGTATGCTTTTGAGCACTTTGTTGCTAACGTACATATTTACATCTCACTTAACATTTAAAAAAAATTAAATGCTTGTGTTTTGAAAGCATTTCTGTGTGTGTAGCTCTCGATCATTCTGTAGGGGGATTTTTTTATAATTTTTGGTTTTCTTCCCCAAAGACTTTTGCAGAAGCAAGCTATTAAATTCCAGAAATTTTGCTGCCATGCAAATATCTATGCAGACACACAATTCCTTTTCTGGGCTTAATTTCGCCCCCAGGAGCTCTCTCGGGCTCACTCTTTTGTACTCAGCCTCTGTCGGAACATGAGAGCAGAAGGCAACAACTTAATCTGAAGCACTGCCCGGGTACTGACTGGCCGTCAACGGTACAGTAGGCAGTCAAAATGTCCAAAATATTGGTAATGCATCAAAACTGTCTGGGCTACAGAGTGAAATTAAAATAATCCTAAGTCTGTTTGGGGATTTCTCTTATGGACTAAACGTTTCTTAAAAAAAAAAAAAAAAAAAGTGAAATGAAGCGAAGCAAAACCTTTGATAAAGACCTGGGTTGGGCGCTGGTTGCAGGATATACCCAGAATCCTTGTTCGAGGCCACTCCATCCTAGAAACGAGACCAGTGCTGCAGAGTCCAATGGGAATACGAAAGTAGAGCTAAATTAGAAGTCTGGAACAGAGATAGCAGGACCAATTTGAAGGGGGGGAAAAAAAAAAAATCTTAATTTAAACATTTCATTACATTTGTCATCTGCCTAGGTACAACTGGAGTGGTGCCCTGACCAAGTGAATCTCAGTGCCTAACGCTGTTCTGCCTGTCTTCCTACCTCTACCGTAATTTGTACTTAGCCAAAATGATCTTTTTCACTGTTTTATTCTTTATAACAATTTTCAATCCTCGTTTGCAGTGTTTGGGTTTGGGGGTTTTCTTTTTTTTTTTTTTTTTTTGAGTTATTACACATATTTCGAAAACATTTCCTTTTGTCAATGTTAGCATCTTCAGGCGCATAGATTTCTCTTTTTCTAGCAGCAGACCATTTCTGCAGGCTTTCATATGGTAGAATATTATGTGTACTTAAGACAGTTTAAAGTATCGTCAAGACTGCAAGACAGCTAATATTGCAGTTCTGAAATCCGTGCAGCTGATGGGCTTCGGATGTGGCTCTGGGCAGATTCACCATTTGTTCTCCAACGTTAAGATTTTTCAAGGACTGTAGATTCTCAAGTAAAACAAGACTTAGAAGGAGCCCTTCTTCAGAAGGGTAACAGAAAACATAACTTAGCCATTAATGACAAAATAATTCAAAATACCCTTTATACTTTCGGGTTTTATCTGGATGGTCTATACATGTGCAGCACACACTTGCTTGTGGCTATCAAAGTGTTTCTTCACTGAAAAGATGAAACGTACTCCTGTGTGTTGCTTCTCTCCATAAGGTTTAACGTACTGACATATCTAAATAGCTGTAACTTTTTTTTCTTCTTCTTCTTCTTAATACAGTCCCTAGATAATGAAGCGCGAGAGAACATTTTATTTGGCTTGAGGATATGTGGTAACAAATCCTCACCGTTCGTGTTGCCGTGATAGTCGAAGGCAAATTGCAGGAGTGGAAACGGTATGCTCTAAACTTCAGAAGATTTTCTCTGACCGGTGATAGTCATCACTTTTTAACTGTGAGTACTTCTAGCCCAAGACTCACAGGGAACACACTAAATGTATCATTCGGCTATTTTTTTAACCACTGCCTGTGATCACTTAATATTCTTTAATTATGATTGATTTCTCTAACTCAAGCTTAGGGGTTTGGTGTAACAGAGACTTTTGAATCAGGTGTAGCATTCTACAGACCAGCTACTTACGGAGACCTTGGTGTGTTTTAGGTGCAAATTGAAGAACTTGGTAGGACTTAAAAAGGAAACTTTCTGGCCAAGGAAGGGAAGGGACCCTGGTTGCTTTTCCTGCTCTCCTGCGTGAGGGTGCAAGTGAATACCAACCAACCCTGTATACCTCCGCTGAGCCTAAGGGAAACCGGCGTAGCCCTTCAAAATTTGCATTGCCTTGTCGGAAGCCGAAATACACTTTTAAAATAAATTTGCAAAGGGAAAGATTCCCTTTTCCCCCTGTGCTACCCGCGCTGGCTTACCTGCTCGGGAGGACAGGAGGACACCACCACCTTCTCTCCCTGCTGCAGCGATCCCTCTGCTTTCCTTCTACACATAACGGATCAAGGGATTTGGCGGCGGTGGACTGACTTCTCCCCCCCCATTCCTAATTAATTCTACAATAATCAAATGTTCTAACTTTTTGACGGACTCATATATAACTTCTAAAATACATTTTTCCAGCCTTCTTTCGAAAATGAAGCCCTGAGCCCCCCCTTTTTATGTTCACGGATGCTGCAGCAATTTGTAGCTGAGGAGAACTTGGAAGCAGAGAAAATGTCTACCTGCTCCCTCCCCTCACTTTGGAGCAATGTAAATTCCTTCGGAATGAAGTTAAGTACATTTCAAGTCTGCAAAAATACCATAAAATTAGAAAACTGCTTCTAAAATGTTGTCATGTAGCCCTCCGTGGCAGGGTTCTCAAACTTCTACGTTATTACCAGTATTTGTCTATGTGATTTCCGAACGAAAATATTTCTGGAGAGTATGGTCTTGTGTGAAAGAAAACTAAGCAAAGCATTAAGGTTGTTTTACTGCAATGGTAAATGTGAATTTTAACAGAACTGTCTGATACTTTTAAAGGGAGGAAAAAGTGGTGCACAAATCTTCTGGGCTCTTTCAAAATACTCTAGTTCAGGAGTCCTTGCTTAATTTTTGTTGTATTTCACTCGTATTTTAATCAGGTCATTAAATCTAGATTAGAAAAAGAGTCATTAAATCTTTTTTAGAATTATTTTCTAGGTGGCAAGAGAGGAGTTCTTTCTTTATTTGTACGAATGCTTTTGGGCAGAAGGTGGAAATGTTCCCTTTTGCCAGCAAATGAAGATAGTCACAGGAAGAAGAGCTCCGATTATTAAAACCTACCGCCAGCAGCTCCTGCCAGTATGATAAAATTCAGCTAAACCTGTTAATGGGTCTTACCGATGAGAGATTACATCCTTTTCAGAAAGATTATCCATTTCAGTCTCGTAGGCTAAAAAAAAAAAAAAAAAAAAGAAGCCTTACTTTTAACTGGTTGTCAAACCAAAATGCTCTTGGTGGAAATAACACACAGGTACCCCCGGCACTGCCAGAGCAAGAGAGGGGTGAGCCTCCCGCGCAGCCGGGCAGCAGCGAGGCCAAAGATGCTACAGGATTCACTGTCACAGGGACAGCAAACACTGTAGAGGCTTCGAGTGATACAGATGTTTGCCCCCCCCCCCAAAAAAAAGTTTGGTTTGGGTTTTGTCCCCCGTCCCCCCCTCCCCGCCCAAATAATCCGTGTTTGAGCTGGAGTATTTCTCTTACATGGGAATTTCTTGGGTTAGTTATTCAGACAAACAGAACTTGCCTAAGGTTGCCTGCTTACAATCTTCAGATTCATTTGGCTGTAATTTACTTTCTTACTTTCAGGTCTTTTTTTCCCTACGTCCACGGGTTTTTCATTCTCGGTAACGCCTTAACGTTACCCATTGGTAGCGGGGGGGCCGCAAGTGCTCACCCCTTGCGAAAGCGCTGCCCTGGCTGGGGTGGGTGTCCTGCCTCTCCTGCACCACCGCCGCGACCCCGCACGCAAATTCCCTTTGCTTTTTGAGATTTTTACAGCCCGGCTCTAACAAGCTTTTGCTTGGGGCTACGAGGGAGAACGTACGCAGTCTAGCCTTGGAGCTGAAATTTCCACGTGATTGGGGATTTTTGGGATTGCAGGAAACAAATAAATGATTAATTGCAAA